AAAAAAGGGGGAGAAGTTGGAAAAAAAAAAAGATGGCCGCGGATCTAGCCGCGGCCTCGGTCCATATGCAAGTTTAGAAGCATCTGGACTGTGAATAGACTGCAGACTGTTGGTTAGTGCGTCTGGCCGCGGGTGAAGGCCAGATGCATAGCCAGGGCTTAGAACTTGGTTCCCCTCGGGGAACATCAAGTTTCCTGGCCCTTGATCGCGAGTTTGATCTAGGGCCAGGCTCTATTCCGGGATTTGGCTGGGGGCAAAGTAGCTGCCCTCAGCCTTCAGCTTGCTATAAAAGCTAGCCTGCCACCGAGCAGCCTCACACTTGTGGCAATGCTGCTGGGGCATTCTACTCGAGTAGATGCTGGCTGGCTGGCTGCTGGTGTGATAAGGAGAAGTGTTGGAGGTCTGCAGAAGCACTTGGAGGAAGGAGGAGGCAACCATAGCTAAAGGTTGGGAGCTTTTTGCCCCACTTTCTGTGTTGTGCTGCAGGCTGTGGGGAAGCCGTGGCCTTGAGGTTGCTGCTGGTTTTCTAGGAAGGTGCGGCGGAGGCGCTGCCGCAATTGTGCGGCGGCAACGCTGGTACTCTTGGCGGTACGGCGAAAGCGCTGCCGAAATTGTGCGGCGGCAGCGCCGGTATTCTTGGCGGTACAGCAGAAGCGCTGCCGAAATTGTGCGACGGCAGCACCGTTTTTCTCAGCGATACAGCGAGGGTGCTACTGGATTGTAGGGCAACAGTATTTTGCACAGGACTGTGAGAACGGGGGTTGGACGTTGCCGCAGGGGCAATACCGCCAAGGTGGAAGTGCACTTTGTAATAGGAAGGGTATGGCAATCGTCTTGTTGAGGACGTTGCGGCACGCGGTACCTGTAAGGACTGATAAGCTCGCTGGTATTTTTTTTTTTTGTGGTATACCGAGTAAGCGGGAATTGGGTCCGGAAGCACTAAGTATTGCGGCAGGCAGGTGGTGGCCTGACTTGGTAATTGGTGGGTTGAATCGGCGCTGTTTTGGTGGAAGGTGTGACGTTGCACTCTCCTGAACAACCAGGCTTCTGTATTGGTGAGCGGCGCCTAAGTCAGCGGCGGCGTTTGAAAGAGGGTGTGACCCATCCTTGTAAGTGGCCACAACGAGAGTTGCGTGGCCGAACTTTTTTCAGCAAATACTTGGCTTTGTTGAGTGAGCCTTCAAGAAATTCACTCAAGGTCAGTGCGACTCGGCTCCTTTGCACACCCGCGTGAACCCACACCCTGCATGACCTTGCTTTGAATTCAGGGGAAAGGGTAGAGTGAGAGTGTGATGTCATGCGTGTGGAGAAAGGGCTGACTTGTTTGAGGGATGGATGAATCTCTGGATTGCTTCTTTTCCTGATTGTGCAGGTAGGTTGGGAGGTGCATGTGAGAAGGAATCAACATTGCTTGCTTAAGATAATAATGGGGATGCTTACCTTTCCCCCACGCGACCTTAATGCATGTGAAAGAAAAGAAGAAAACCAAAAATAATAATAATAAAAGAGTGAACAGGCGGGTGCCGAAAGAACGAAGGCCATGGAAAAATTAGAAGAAGAGAAGACAAGGGAACACCTTAGTATCTTCCCAAGGACTTCCTCATTCTATCCCGAACGACCATCATCCTTCTATGCCCGTCTAAAAATATTTTACTTCTTTCTCTTCCTAATTCGTCTAAGTCGACCCTTAGCCGGGAAGCGTAGAGCGGTCATCTGCACACAGGGTCTAGGCTTCTTCTCTCTAGGAGGCATCCAAGGCGGAGGTTCATTGCCTTAGGGGCCGGCCCAGTTACTGACTCGGAGCGGACCGCTTATGCGGGGGGATACCATGCTGTTGCGGTGGAGCCAACCCAACTTCTGAGTCATGAACAATGTGTTCGGGCGAGGGGGAGGGGTATTCCAGACCACTTCCTAGAGGGTAGGGGGTCTTGAAGCTAGGAGCAGTCGCCTCCTCGTGCTTTCGGGGAAAGGGGAGGTTGAATCTAGTACCCTGCTGGGTGGCCATATTAGGTGTCACCTACGTGTGGGAGGGCTGGCGCCACAAGAAGCTCAGCCCGTGATTCAACTAGTGTTAAAAGAAGTGTAAATAGGCACTACTTTCCCGTATGGACCGTGACACAAAAATCACGGCCCGAAAAGGGGAGTAAGGATTGAACATGGAAATGAGTATATCTGAGTTATTTTGACAAAGTTACCACTTCGTCGTCCAGATGCTTGCGGAGAAAGTGATTCTCCGATTGTTTGGCACACGCGAGGCGGCGGCTAATTGGTTAGCGGTGCCGACACGATCCCACTCCGGCATGACACGGAAGGGAAGGCTGGTGTACAACCCTCTACAGGTTTACTCGGAACGGGACGTGCCACGATTCTGGGAAGGGAGCGCGAGGAAACCACCGCGGAGTTATATTTTCTTGGTCGAGCCAGGCCAACATATAGTACGATATGACTTTGCGCCTCCTAATCCATCACGAGATTATGGAGGCATGAACTTAGTTGTGGTTCACGAGGACTATCCAGAAGTAGAGAACATTCCTGAGGTTAGAGGGATGTTCCTCCATATTGTACTTCATTTGAACGATTTGCATGGTCCGTTCGGCCTCCTTCATCATGCGAGATGGATCCGAGCGAATAAATTTAATATCATTCGCTCGGAACGTTTCGACGTCACCACGTTTTATGACGAGGCTTGTGAAATTTACGAGCGCCTCTTCTAACAGGTGGCTTCTTCGGTATGCAGATGCCCAACGGACGGCGGGACTTCACTCAGGCCAGATACGTACTGATTCGCGACACTACGGACGAGGAGCTGATCTGGCGAGCGGAGCGAATATTACTGGTTCGAGATGGAGCGCCCACGCGGTGGATTGGTTTTATCGGCCTGCTCAGTGATGGGCAGGGATTATTTCCCAACTCGCGCGCGGATGTTCGGGCCAATATGGCCCGACTTCCGGACGAAGTTCATGGATATACCTTGTACTTCCATCGCGCGAGCAACCTTCAATGCCTCTCTCGGGTCATTGTGAGCGTCAAAATTACCCTATCCGCGGAGCGCTACGGCGTCATCCGGATTAAGGACACCACGACCACACACCTGTTTCGGATGCGTCAGCCGTTCYGCGCCATAGTCTGGAAKCTCGCCTCACGGATGGCTTCCCTCTATGATACGCGGAAGGTTCGAGTCTCKYGGGGTGGACGCGTCTCCACCTTGACTTTTGATGACGAGGAGCTTACGCGACTCGACYGGATAGAGGCTGAGGCCCRTGAGGGCCAACAGGTTAATCCTGGCTGAGCGCACCCTCTCGAGTCCGGTGCATTGGTAAGTTGTTCTTTTTGTAAGGCCATATCTTTGTGACTCTACAAGGGTAATAATAATAAAAAAAAATAAAAAATAAAAAAAAACAATTTTGCGTAGGTAGGCCAACCAGATGGATCGTATCTAGATTGCCCCGATGATAGCACTATCATGCTTAGGCATTGAGGGGTAATTGAGCACCTAACGATAAGCCAGATAAAGTGAAGGTCGAACACCTGAAAAGATGATGATCCAAAGGGCGAGGGCGAAGTATCAGGAAACGAAACATTCCAATGCCGAGTATCTGGTGTTGAGGATGGGTACTTTGTCGTTCGTGGACCGGAGAGAGTAATTATTGTCTAGGAGGACAAAGTGACGAACAAAATTGTCGTTCACTCCTCCAAGCAAATGCGTGCGGTACGACAATATGGTCGAACTGGGAATTCAAACATCGACCAGGAGCCAGATCACTTTTTGATCTGCATGGTACTGGCGGTATTTGATTGTAGAAGTTGTGCACGACGGATCTCCCGTCTTTGGACGGCAGTGCAACTGCCTCGTCGGTCACGTAGGCAGGAAATGATAACCTTGGCAGACCATTTCATCGAGTCGAAATGTACTTTATTTATTTTATGAGCAAGAGATCATAAAGGGACTAGGATTATATGATGGGTTTCACGTTTGGTGGAGGCCATCCTAGTCGACCGACGCTCGTTCGTACCGAGGAGATCAGCGCCCTCGGGAACGGACAACGTTCGGGTCCACTTGGCGTTAACCAAGAGTACCTATACTTCAGCGACCGAGCAAACGCCCTCGGCTGACCTACCTCTGCAATTGCATGTAAAAGCTTTCGCACATGGGTCAGTAGCTCGGTAGGGATACGCCCCTGAGGGTGGTGACAGCCCCTCAGGGAAAGTAAGTTGTGCCCCGCGAAAACCTATCCTGTCGTAGGGGACCGCGGGATGTATAGCTGGCGCACCCGGCTAGAGCGGCGAAGGGACAATGCAACCGCGTCCGTCTCGGCGGTTCGCGGAATCACTTATGCATCGTCCTAAGTTGTCTCTTGATTTTGTTTTGTTTTAACTCCTGCGTGACATAGCCGGGAGGGCCCTCGTTTACGCGAGGGCCGATGCGCTCGACAGCGAGCAGGGCATCCAGGGTGATCCAGTGTACGTGAACAGTGAGATGTTGGGTGCTGAGTCGCCATAGCCGATTGGAAGTGAACTCGTATCTGGATGCCATATCTCTGAGTTTTGAGGAAGCACATGTCGCTAGTTTGCTGAGCTACCGTTTTGCAGATGTGAACAGCGTGAATGAAAAAAAAAACGAGTCTGGTCGCAATAATAATAATAATAATAATAATAATAATAATAATAATAAATAGTAATAATAATCCAGGGGAAATAAGCAACAACGAGGTGACAATTCCATATTATGCCATCACATTGAAAATCAGAAAGTCACACCGTGTTTAAAGAGCAACATTACACCAGTAATACAGCAATCGAGGTTCGTGGTACCGAAACCAAAGTCATAGGGAGTGTACTTCTTCCATATCAACACATGAGCCCAGTCCTTTCTCCTTTCCTACTCGTGCTCAGCGCCCAGCCTACCCCTATACAGCTACTGCAACCTGCAAATTGACAATGCAACTGTTGACATCAGCGGCAACCCGAAGTACTTGAAGATGTCGCCCATGCAGACCATCACCTATACAAGGCAAGTGCCCTCACATCATCATCAACATTATACAGAAACAGTGTCGGTATCCCTACCCTGTGCTCAGTGCCCAGACTACAGATGGCAGACCCTATCTAGCCTATCTACAATGTTGTTGACGATGTCATCACCTCCCCAAGTACAAGCAGATCTCGACCCATGCCGCACACATCAAGCACCAAGTACGTCTCTCGTATCATTCACTACCTCGATCCCCTACTCATAGTTGCCACGTGTACTCAGGACCACACTGTCCTTAATAATAATAATAATAATAATAATAATAATAATAATAATAATAAAATAATAAAGGCAAGGATCATGAATGTGAACGAAGCACAGAATCCGAGTTTGCATCCTCACACTGGAGTCCAAGTAGTCAAAGCAAGAGCGGATAGCATAATGGACCCAGTAACCATCCCTCTCAGAACGATATAGAAGGATCGTGGGTCAATGTCCAATCTCAATAGGGCCACCCCAACTGCATAACTCCATGTAGTTCTCACTCTGGAATGACGCCTGGCGCCCAGCCTACTCCTACACTACTACTACAGACAAGAAGGAGACGATGCAACCTTTTGTTATAGGCTGCGGCTCGAAGTGCTTGAAGATGCTGCCCATAGCAGACCATCGCCAATACTAGGTAAGTGCTACCACGCCATCATCATCATCATCCTTCACTTATCATCATCATCATTATCATCTCTTTTCATCATCATCCTTCTCTTTTCCCCTTTCTCTCCCCTTTCTCTCCCCTTTCTCTCCCCTTTCTCTCCCCTTTCTCTCCCCTTCTCCGATCTTTCACATTCCTTCTTCGATCTTTCTCGTCTCCTTCTCTCTCCCTCTTTCTCTCGTAGTCTGCAAATGCAGTAAAGGCAGATCGAGAGAGTGGGGCGGATGGTGGTCTGAAAAGAGGAAGAAGAAGGACTATCCTTTATTGCTATGAGCCAGGTACTAACCTGGCTTAGTTGGTGATTGCTGCAGGTACCTCGAAGACGAAGCTGGAGCAGACGGCGTTATGGGTAAGTACTCCTAACCTCCGTCCAATCTCTCTTCCTCTCTCTTTCTCTCTTTTCTACTTCTCTTTCCTTACCATATCCTGGTAATTATGCTCGCTGCAGTCCGCAACGCAATCTGACGCGATGTGCAACATATTGTGACTTAGCGTGAGGAGCGAAAATGGCACAAGCGTGCTCTCCAACAAGTCGGCGGATGACTGTCAACCTACTGATGCCCGTGCGAAAGCATCACACCTCCTACCTGTCTTCACCTTTCGCATACGGTAGGCAGGTAAGGTAGATAAAATAACTTTTTAACAATAATATAGATAGTAATAATAATAATAATAATATTAACAATAGTAGTAATAACAATAGTATGATAATAATAAAAATAAAAATAATAACAA